CTGCATTTGGCTGAGGTGTTGTTGGACCTGGGCCGAATTGGCCAATCCAGGGGGTGATCTGGCCAGGGAAGTTCCCTGGGGAGTATGCCTGCCAGGGCTGCAGCAGCAAATGCTGCCCCTGGAATGGCGCTTGTTGCGCCATTGGTGCAGTTTGCACTGCATATGGTTGGAAGCCCCTTTGAGGAGGCTGGGGTATGCATGTCAGGGCACACACCCTGACTAGCCCAGACCCGGACCCGCATGTGCACTTCCGCCCCACACGCTCCGTGCACCACATGCTGCGGGCCCAGTCCCCATCCTTCATGTGACTTCCGGGTATCCCCGGAAGTTTTTGCCATATTGGGGCCACTGTGGGAAATGAGAAGTTAACCGTCTTCTCACTTCCTTACCCACAGTAGCTCCCTGCCTTGAGACTAGGCTGTTACAGGTTGGACCGTGGGCCATAGAGTTAGGGGTCATGGGGACCCAGGGTCCGTCCCCTGACAATGCAGTGCCTGTTGGCATCGTGGATGGTTGTTGGTTTGCAGCACTCATTTGTGCCGCGTGCATCGTTGTCAGGCAGTAACTTGCAAAAAGTGTAATGGCAGTTCATGAACCATCATGGAAGTCATGACATTTCATGAATGGTCACCAAACTTCATGAAGCAGCATGAAGTGTCATACACAGTCATGCTGGTTCATGACAAACTGTCATGGAATTTCATGAGATGTCATGAAGCTGCATGGGGGTCATGATTGCCCATGACTTAAGTGGTTCTTCCAGGCAGGTTTTGAGTAGTTACATGCAACCTCATGAGGTGTCATGAGCCTTCATGAGCCTTCATGGGATATCATGTCCTTCATGAACCACCATGAGTGATTATGAAGCAGGCTTTGAGTGGTTACATGCCTGTATATGAAGTGTCATGAAGTGTCATGAGGCTTCATGGGGCTTCATAAAGGATCATGGCTCATGGACCTTCATGAATCACTATGAGTCTTCCCATGAATCATTATGATTGATCATAAATTTGGATTCTTGGTAGGTACAGCAATGACAGGTGTGGGCATAATGGTGTAATTACATGTTACCCTTAACTTCAAAGTGGTATGGAGGCATCATATGCACAAGAAAATCATGATTGGCTGGATGCATATGACTTAGCTGTGAAGCATAGCCTCCAAACCAAGCATTCAACTGCTCTGCAGCCTCTGTATTGAAAGCATGCTGAAACCGAGCTTGTTGACTATTTCCATTTTGAATAGGAAGAACCAAATTTGGGTCATCTTTGACTTGAGGGGTTGGATTGCAATATTTATGGCATGTAGGGTCATTGTAGTGGTTCCTGCAATGGAAAGCATCAACCAGAAAACAGGATGTTTGAAACCATCTGTGATGCTGTCCTTGGCTCATCAGTGTAGCCAGGATTCTACATGCCTTATCAATCACAATGTATGATGGCCAGGAGTCTGGGTCTGGAAAGACTTCTTCAAGTGTATGAAGAATATTGGTTGGGCTTTCAGACACCATATATTTAGTCCAAGCCACAATACAACCACATGGACGGGTGAGAGTTTCAAGGCAATATACATGTTTATATTGCAATGTGTGCTGCCCATGTGGAGTGGATCTCGATGATGCACTTGGAGATGGTGCCTCACCATCACAATGATGATGTGGAATGACTTGTTCAGGATCCTCTGGAGAAGGTAGGGCTTGCTGAGCAATGCGATGAGCATTCATAACCCATTCCTCTGTTGGGGATGAAACTCCAAGAAGGCCTTGTCCTTGTTGGTTCCGTATGACCCTTCGATATGCTCCATATGACTCCTTATCATGTGTTCTAGAGAATGCCTCCCAGCATTGTTGATGGTCAGGGAGACTACAAGCACCAGAGTTCAAGGGGGCTGTTACACATGGATTCTGACAAGAGACTATGCCACATAAATGGCCCCTACTCCTTTCATGTTCTGCACAGAGTTTCTTTGAGTGAAAATTAAGTGGAAGGTTAGGGCATTTAGGCATTGCACAAAGGCGATGTCCCATGCAAATGCCATCCACCACAATCATATCAACCTCCTGATCATCATTAGTTGTCACTTGCTGGTAGGAAGGAGTTAGCAAGGGAAAGTAAAAATAGTAAGTAGATCACATACTGCAGTTCCCTCTTGCAGGGATCGGTATGGGTGGAAGCACTGAGCACACCAATGAGCAAGTGCACCTTGGATTGTCTTGACAGCTCCAGGGAAAATTTTTTCTTGCATCTTTGAAGCCAAAGCTGTGATGCTTGTGTGTGATGGAAGAACAAGCTCATGATTGGTAGCTTTGCACAACTTGAGGGACTCATGTAAGACAAATAACTTCCATGCATGCTTTGGAAGGAGGGAAATCTTATCCTTCCCATATCGCTGTGAATAGAATGATGCAAAGCCCTCAGATGACATTTGTGCACATCAGCAAACCTGGATGTGGAGGCCTGAGAGCTCATAGAGCTCATAGAGCTCTCAGAGCTCTCAGAGCTCTCAGAGCTTCAGTACTTTGAAACTGCAGGTCCCCTTCTCTGAGAGCTCCGAAAAGTAGTCAAAGCTCTGAGAGCTCATAGAGCTATATTTGCACACAGGGGACTATTATCTATATGAGCTCCCTGAGTGTTTAATTTACCCGATATTAAAATTAAAATTTAAAAGCATTGACTATGGCATCATGTGACTAGCCATAGCCAAGTCCCTACCATACAAGGGACTGAACAAACTCAGCTTCACTTTCAGCACCAATGCGGCACCAGACACCAAGGGTATGTAGCCCAATCAATATATAAGCCAAATTTAGGGATATAAATGCAGTTAATCTGAAATTACTTAGGGAAAATGCGGGAAAATGAGTGGGAAAATGAGTGGGGGGGAAATGGGGGGGAAATGGGGGGGAAATTGAGGGGGGGAATGGGGGGGAATTGGGGGGGATGAGGGAGAAAATGAGGGGAAAATTAAAGGGGGAAATGGGGGGAAAATGAGGGGGGAAATGAGGGGAAAATGGAGGGGGGGAATGGGGTGACATTTGGAGGGGGAAATGAGGAGGGAATTGGGGGGAATGAGGGAGGAAATGAGGGAGGAAATGGGGGGAAATTGAGGGGGGAAGTGGGGGGAAAATGGAGGGGGGGAATGGGGTGAAATTTGGAGGGGGGAATGAGGGGGGAATGAGGGGGAAAATGAGGGAGGAAATGGAGGGGGGAAATGGGGGGGGAATGAGGGGAAATTTGAAGGGGGAAATTGGGAGGGGGGAATGGGGGGGGAAATGAGGGGGAAATCGAAGGGGGGGATGGGGGGGAAATTGAGGGGGGGGGATGAAGGGGAAAATGGGAGGAAAATGAGGGGGAACTGGGGGGTTTCTAAAAACTTGAAAAAAAGTCAGGGAAAATTAAGGAAAATTCAGAAAATGGGGGACTTTCTAAAAAAGGAGAATGTCCAAAAAATCAGGGGAAAAATCAGAAATTTTGGGATAAGTTAGGGAGAGATATTTCAGGAAATTAGGAATAATTGGAAAAAAAAAATTAATTCACTTTTTTGATAATTCAATGTGCATTGGAAAGTGCCAAAGTGGGGCAATGTAGCAATGTATGTTTCAGTGTTAGAAAAGTCTCCCACCATGTTTTGGTGAGTGTCAGGGCACAGCCCCTCACTATTCCACAATCCCGCATGCATGCAGACCCATGGGAAAGTTCTGGGTTACTCACCCAGAAACCATCACAGCCACAACTGTGGGAACTTTCTGGGTGAGCAGCTCGTTCCCACGGGGGGGGGGGGGGTGCCATTTATGGAAAGTCAACAAAGAGCTGAAAACTGTATAGTTCCTGGCTCCCATTTGTAGAGGAGGTTGAGAAGGTTTAGCCCCCTCAGTGAGTTTGAGGATCTCGGACTGGGACTAGATACCCCAGCGACTAGGAGGATCCCCCTGGGCCCGTCACAGAACAAGGGCTGGGCCCTGACAGTGAGCCAAATAACCATGGCTTTTTGACCATGGGAAATTTGGTGTCAAAGGCTTGGATGATATCTGAAGAATACATCAGCTTTTTGTTTGCTTTATTGGGTGGTATTTTCAATTTACTTCATTTGGAACACTTTGTTAAAACTGATTTATACCCTACATAACATGCATGGTTACATTGCCACACTTTGGTGCTTTCCAATTCACATAGAATCATCAAAATTGGTTGAGTTTTGAGCAAGAAATGAGATGAAAGATAAAGTGCAAATTTTTGAATTTCAGAGTTTTCCTCATATTTTGTAAATAGCAATAAACAAATAAGGTGCTGATTTTAGTAAACACAAAAGGTATATGAGCTCTATGAGCCCACTGAGTTCATAGAGTTCATAGAGCTCATAGAGCTTTCAGAGCAATGACAATGGCCATTTTACACACATATATATCCATATTATCTTTGCACTACTGGTGCCAAAATAACTAAGCAGATTTCATGGAGATATGAAGACCATCCATGATTTAAAAACACAAAGCTCTATGAGCTCTATGAGCTCACTGAGCTCATAGAGCCCATAGAGTGTTTCAAGTAATGATGCTGGCCATTTAATATGCATTTCCAAAAATGTATATACATATTATCTTTGCACTTCTGCATCCTTAGGAGAATAAAATCATTCAAACATTTAATTTTCTCCACCCAATGTGTAGAGGGTGCACAGCAAAAAGACTCAATTTGCTCACAGAGCTCTGAGAGCTCCCTACCAAGTTTGCTGATGCAGTATAACATAGATTGGACTGGGTTTGAGCAACTTGCCGATTAATCCAGATATTACCTCCAATGCAGAGATAAGCTGCATCAGGATTAAAGATATTGGTAAGTTTCCCATTGATTGAAGTGCGATAGCAATCTGGAAAGTGAGATGTATTGCAGGACTGGCAGTTTCCCTGTGCAAGCTGGCCAATGTAGACACCATTATCCTCCAAAATCCATATATCCACACATTGTCTAGTTTGCTTCAACCATCCACCACACACTTGGCAGTCAAAATAACTGGGTCCTAACAGGGTTGGTTAGATGAATGAGGTGTGGGTCTGAAAGGAATTCATGTGAAAGCCCAAGTCCATTTGCAGCTTCAAGGATAAGATAGTTCTGGGTCTTTTGGTCCAGTTGAGGAAGGGCAAGTGAGTCCTGGGAGAATAGGTGGGCACTGAGACGATGTATCCACGAAGATGGAAAGTTGGGATTAAGGGTTGCTTCAGATTGGAGATAATGGTGATGGAGATATTCCCCATTGCGCAGGATGAAAATAAGAATAACAGCCACAGCATAGCCTGTGATCCTTGGAGTTGCTGAGGTGAATGTCTCTGCAAGGCCCATTGCAGTTGAAGCATACACCATAGGCAGGAAACACAGGAGTACAAAGACATTGAAAACATTCCTCAATTTGAAAGGTAGGTACACATTGGATTTCCTAATGTTACAATCATTCTGCTCAAAAATTTGATTGAGAAATGACAAACTGAGAATTACTTATTCTTGTTTGGCTCCACCCCATTTGCCTTGAGATACTTGAGATATGTGATGATTTCTTGGAGGCTATGAACCTTTGTCTCAGAGTTTGGATCATCATATGCATACTTGAGGTCCTTGACTGGTTCATTGTCCCATACTGATTCAAGACGACATGCCCGAGGGTTGTTCTGGAACTCCATGTAGGTACTGTAGATGATAAGATGGTGAGCAACAGTACTGTCACTACAGGAAGTCACAGCGATATAGAGCTCTCGGAGGGGGACAGCCTTTCCATGTCCAGGAAAGGAAGCAGGGATAAATGCTGCAAGCTGTTGTATGATGAGAGTCCTTCAAAGCATTGAATTGGGCCTGCTTCTCCATAGTTTGCCGCACCTTCCAGAGGTTACTGAGTTCCCCAAGGGAAGCCTTTCCAATTGTGGCAGAAGGGGCTGGTTCAGTAGGTGGTGTATATGGGATAGTGGGATTCATTGGATTGGGGTGAGGAATAGAGGGGCCAAGCTGAGTAGTTTGGGTAAGAGTGGATGTTTGTCAGGGCACACCCGCCTGACCCTGCCCCGCGCCCCGCGCCGTACTGCTCTACTCCGCGACCCCCGCTATCAGCCCCGTCCCTCCTTCCTCACTTTTCCCCTTTTCTCTCTATTTCTATTCTATGGTCGATTTCCCTTTTCTCCATGTACCACTACATACCTAACCCCGTTTCCCTGATCGCCGCACGCGCCGCGCACACTCCTGCCTACTGAGCGGCCGCCTCCGGGATCTCCTGCGGAGACACCTGGGGAGGTGCAGCTGTGCGTGGAGATGACATGGCCTCCTCCATGTGACCCTGACCGCATGTATATAATAGCGCCTGGGGTGGGAACAGAAGAAGCAGCCTTCTTCTCAACTTCCCACTTCAGGTAAGTACCATAGCTTTTCCCCTTTAATGATAACTCAACTTCCCACTTCAGCCTAAGTGGTCGGGGACGCTCACCCCACGACGGGATTGCTGCTACGCACAGCCGCTATCTGTCCCACCGAGTCCCGCATGCAGGGACCTCGCCGCTTTCGGAGCTGTCCCTGACAATGTTGAGTTATAAACATAAATAATCCTTCAATGTTCACGAAGAATATGGATACGATATGTCCTGCAAGAGTCACTCTCAACTTTTCCAAGGTGAATAGTGTCTTTGCCATCCAGGTATGAGATACGAGATTCATCTGAGTAAATCATTGGGAAAAAAATGAAACTTTGGGTTTATGACAGCCAGAGATAGAAACTCACTTGTAATCCGATCAGTACCTAGATACTCCTGGGCAGTGGAAAGAATATCCTGCATCAAGACACTCCATCCATCCACTTCAACCTGAGTGGATGGCCAAGTGGCATGGCTATAGGGGGAAATTACATTGTTCTGTGGAGATGACCCAGGACCAATGAATTGGATTGTAACTTTCAATCCTAATAATGGGAGAGTTAATTCCTGCATAATGGGAGCATTTATTAACATTTAACATACCACTCAAAAGCTGAATAGTATCTTGTTCTTTGTTATCTTCATCCTGTTTGTTTCTGTCTTCATCAACATCCTCATCACTGCTGGGGATATCGAACTCTTCAAAGTCACCAGTTGCATCATCTCTGCTTTCAGTGTCCACTGCACTTGGAGCAGTATCCTGTAATAATAAGGGTTTACTCTCAGGTATGTATTAAGTAAGTTAAAACTTACCAAAATTTGAAGAGTTGATTTGGACTTTGCTGATTCAGACATGGAGTCAGAAATTGCAGTGACTCCCTCAGCAAAGTGTGTTTGCTGAGTAGCACCCTTCCCTTTGGAATCCTATCCGAAAGGGTTGGGAGTTGATTTTTTAAAGTTATTTTTGCAAAGAAAAATTGGCTCACATCTTGTTTTGCCCTCTTTCTTCCTGCTTTAGCTGCCTGGACTGTAGAGGAAGGTGCAGTAGGGACTTTTGGTTCTGGGCTTGCAGCCTGTTTGCAAGTTCGACCCAGAGGGGCAATGGAGGGGCCTGGTGCCGGGTCATTATCATTATCACCTTCAGCCACAGCCACAGTCCCAGTCCCAGTCTTAGCAGCTGCAGAGGTCTTCTTAGTGTTTTGTCACTTAGAGCCACTAGCCAAGGTTGAATCCTGGGCCTTCTTCTGGCTGCCTGAGGCTGGGGTGGGTTTAGGGGCTTGAGGAGCCCCTTTGTCACAAATCCTGGTGCTCCTACACTGAAGGAGAGAACGAAGGAAGGTCAGTTGGGAGGTTCAAATGAGACGCTCTGAGGTTAGTGAAGAAGGAGCAGAGGTAGACTGGAGGGATTGGAGGGATCGGAAGTCGATGGCTGGGAATGGATATGACACAGATGTCAGCTGTGTGTAGCGGCGATCCCGTCATGGGGGAGCGTCCCCAACCACTTGGTCTGAGGTGGGAAGTTGAGAAGAAGGCTGCTTCTTCTGTTCCCACCCCAGGTGCTATTAAATACATGCAGTCAGGGTCACATGGGGGGAGCCACATCATCTCCGCCCACAGCCGGACCTCTCTGGGTGTGCCCATGGGGGATCCCAAGGGTGTGCTGCCCTGTAGGCGGGGATGCGCGCAGCAAGTGCAGCGATGGGGGAGCAGTATTAGGTGTGTGATGATACATAGAGAAAAGGGAAATCAACTGTGGAATAGAAATAGAGACAAAGAAGAAAAAGGGGGAGGAGGAACGAGGAGTGGTAGCGGGGGGAGCGGAGTAGGGCAGGGCAGTGCTGGGTGCAGCGCTGGGTCAGGCGGGGTGTGCCCTGACACTCTGGGCTTTGCCCTCTCTATCTCCTTTCGGATGTACCACAGGTTCTGACCTATGACCTTCGGTACCACTCCGCTTCTGTCATCCCTTTGTTCCCATTTGGACGCCTTCGTTCCCATTTGGACCCCCTTTGTTTCCCTCATGCTTTCGCCCTCTCCATTATATACCGGCGCTTGTACATACTCGTTTTAGGCCCTTAGTCTAAAATCGACCTGAAATGCCCCCTAGAGACTTCCTGCTCACCCCCTATGAAATTAAGGACCAAATGGACAAACAGCAATGGCACAGCGCTCTGCTTGAGTCGCTGAGGCCAAGGTCCCTCCTTGCTAAGTCTCCAGTTCCCCTCTGGAATCGTCTGCCCTTGCCCAGTTCTAACAGGGGTCTGGGTTGTCCTTCTTCCCTTTCTCCTTGTTTTCCTTGGGTACTTTGGTGTATTTCCCCAAGGTGTCTTTTCTTGGTGCTTCCACCAAGGCTTTGGCAACTTTCTCATCTGCCATGTTTTCTAACTGGTGCACTACAGCCAATTTGATTTTATAATTTATGTCGTCATGGTTGACGACTGACATTGGGCCCATCCTTATGGTCCCGACGTTAACTTCCTCACCCTCTGAATTGGGTGAGTATTGAGGTCCCTCGTATGGGTCCTCTACTTCGGAGCTTGATGCTCTGGAGTCACCAGAGTTGTTCTCTGGTTTTTCATCGATGAGTCTTCCGACTCTTCTTCTGATGCGTTCGCGATTTCCATGGCGGCTATGTGCCTTGGTTTTTCATCACTCATTGCATTATGTTTTGGGCAATCTTTTGTTTGCCCTATTTTGCCGCATTTGCCACAAATTGGGACTGACTTTTGGTCAGTTTTCCTCGAATTTTTCGAGGATATATCCCCTTTCCATCTGGGTTTTGGCTCTTCAGCCTTCTTTCCTGATGGGAGAGTTCTACTGTGGCCCATGGTTGCCATGGTGGTTGTTCAGGTATAATATCCCGATTTGTAGGCTGAAGACATCTTCAGCCTGTCGATTATCTCGTCTACACAAGATTTTTAACATCTCATTTGAGGAGAAGTCTGCTCTGATTCTGTCATGAGCGATCATTTCCCTCTTCCATTTGAGGGGAATGTTGTTTAGAAACCTGGCATTAAAGGATGCCTGGTCTGGCAGTGTCACCATCTGGGACGCTGCTTTAGACAGTTCTAAGTAGAACTGTTTTAGGCCTTTTTCTGCTTTGTATTTAATGTTGCAGTACTTCTTTGTCATGTTCAACGCGGCAGAGGCTTTGATGAAGGTTCTCATCAGTATGTTGAGAACTTCGAGGAACATGCCCTCATCTCCTCTGAGGAGAGTTTCGTCTCAGAGTCTTATTCCGAGGTCGAATGCAGGTCCCCCTAATCTGTGAATCAAGCAGTCCAGATGGACTTCATCGAATTGGGGACCTTTGCATCCTCACAAGGTGAGGAATCCCAGTAGTTCTGTGAACCACTGCCAGAATGACTCCATGTCATTCTCCCCTGACCATTTCTTGTCAGGGAAAGCCAGCCCATTCTTTAGAGCTTCAGGCTTCACTCCCTCTGGGTAGGGAGTGAGTATTCTCACTTCGGCCATTCTTATGGCCTTTCGTACCATTTTTCCAGGTACTCCTCTTGCTCCCCTGCCTTCGCAGGGTCACTATCCAATGGAGATTTCTCCTTTGGGGGGGTTTTTGCTGGAGGGAACTTTCCTTGCAGTGTTTCTTTCGTTTCGGGCGATCTCACCTGAAGCTGTATCTGGATTCTCTCATTGTTTTGAGAGAGTGTGGTTGTGTTACCTCTCTGTTCGAGAGGTTCATTGAAGGTGGATGTTTGGCTGAACCTTTGGTACATGCCGATTCTCCTCCTGATTTCTGAACGGTGCCTTCTTTCAGCATCGTCTTCTCCTATCCTTGGGAGAAGGATCTCCTTAGCATCTCTGTCGAGTCGCTGATGATACTCCAGTGTACTTTCACTGGTTGTTCTTTTCATGAATTTTCCATGAGTTCTGGTTTTGTCCTGGCCTGTGACCCAGGGATATTTTTTTTGTTTCCTCACTATTTTGTGAGAAATTTATTTCCTTCAGCAAGTCCGTTTGCTCGCTGATTTTGTCAGTCAATGTGTCGATTGCATTGGCCATTCTTTCTAGAGTTATCTCTAGATGAGCCATGCTATTATGGCTCGTTTCCTCGATCTTTTTTTGGATCAAGTTTATTGTGTTTATTATGCACAATTCTGTCATATCCCGGAATCCCGACCCTGCGCTCTCCCACCACACCACACCTTCCTAACAACTTCACCATCCCCTACACCATGCCTCCCCACTGTCAGGGTTCAGCACCCTGCCCTAGGGTGCCCCAGACTCCCCAACCAATCCCTTCCTTCCATTCCCCCATTGTTGCCTTTCTGTGTTGTGTATCCGCGCGCATGGGATAGCGTGGGAACTTTCTGAGCGAGCAGCTCGCCCAGAATGTTCCCACGGGTCACAGCCACAGTTCTGGGCGAGCAACTCACCCAGAACGTTCCCACACTTACTGGGCACTGCCACCTGGATGCTCCCTCCGGGTCACACTACACAACTCTAAGAGCTGTATAGTTGTGGTCATGTGACCCATTCCTTTATATAGCAACCATGCGGGGAGATGAGACCTTTACCCTTCTTCTCATCTCATGCCCCGCATAGGCAAGTGTATATTAT